ATTTTGAAATGTGATTCTTACCAAAAGTTGAACTTGGGAAGGAAACATTCGGGTTCACAATGTTTCAAAATTTACCCGTAGAATGAGGTTTTATTACATTTTATTATTAGTCTCATATTTGCATACGTCAACGTCACTCAAGTGCAGTCTGTCCCTTCATTCTATGTACCATGTGCTGAGAACACCGCTCTCCTGCTGTTTCCCATGCGATGTAATTTCTTACTGGATTGCTCGCTCCACCGGGTAATTTCAGTCTACTTGTCACATTTTCTGTGAGGGTGAAGTGGGGTTCCTGTCTCTGTGCCCCTCCTGCATTCTCTGTCTGACAATTATAGCATGCTTCACACTAGTCTGTGTGTTTGAAGGCCCATGGTGACTGCTAGCTGTGAGTTCCTGACAGACAGGGACTGTGTCTTCTTTACATCTGTAACACAGTCCTTCAGAGAGTACTAGGGACATCGTAGATGTTTCACAGCTCTCAGTCCAATTGCTGAAAGACCGTGAGGACATTTTAATCAAATAGCGCAGAAGCATAAATTCATATATAACTTCTGAAGAGAACTCAGACTACTCCTTAGCAATTTAAAAAGAGACTTGTAATCATAGACAAAATAAAGACTAACTGAAGCACACCCCATTTTCTTGACTATTTCTTACTTTTAAGCGATTAATCTTAACAAAATTCATTGGCTTTCACACAACAATAAACAGTTGGATGGGAAGAGGTACCAAATGGTCATTTGTTGAAGCCCGATACTAAATCAGAAATGGTGCATGAATTTTAAATTTCTTCTAGTCCTCACTTATCGGTAGTGGCTGCCTAAAGACTGTGTTAATAAGTATAGAGCACACCTGGGTTCAGGGAAAGGGTGCTGTTACTTATTAGTGATGTCTGCCCTGGGCATGGACTTGGGAGTATTTATCTACCTGACAAATACTTTCAATCTCCATATTAGTACCTGGGCTGCTTTTTGCTTTGTGTTCAAATTCTGCAGAACTATCTACTACATGTGGAAGGTCAAAAGGTCTTGGCCGTAGTCTCAACCCCTCAAGAAATATCCCTGGAAAACAGTCCTATGTGCCTGTCTTCTTGGTATCTCTGACCCCCGGGCCAGTGCCTTGGTCTCGGCTTTTAAGGTTTCTGGCCCAAACCTTGGAGCTGACACTTCACTAAGACCTTCTTGTTTTAGACTTTGTCTTTGACCCTGGAAAGTGTCTTTCTGATCTCCTGGTTCCTTGATCTCTTGAACTCCCACTTGCTTGGGATGAGAATTCCTTGTGATCGCATTCCCTGTATAGCAGGATCTACTTTGCCTTTGCAAAGCCAAGTGGTACAAAGCGTGTGTCCCTGTCCACGTGTAAGCAATGATATATTGACTTACTTGGAAAGTTCTCCAGACTACACTTAACTGAAAAGTCTCTGGGTAAACATCGCATCTATAGGGTTTCTCAGGTTTTGGCAGGGTTGCCTGCATCCTCCCGACCTGAAACATGCTTGTTTTCCAGGTTACCTGCAGAGCTCTCTGCATAGATACACCCACAGTCCAAGCCTTTGTTTTTAGTGGAGAACAACCTAGTCTTCCAACAGACAGTGCTAGTATAGAACAGTGCTATCACCATACCTCAGGAGACCTGCTAGTTCCTACTGTGCTATTGCTCTACCGTTTGCAAGATTTCCTTGGATCATTGTAGTCACCTAAACATAATTCCTAAAATCAGGAATCATTCTCTTATGGCTAAAGCTTACCTCTTCCCCCCCGACCATGTTGCGAGTTCCTCATTCTAGAAGTCACAGGGTTAGCAATGATAAAACAAGGTAGCAGTAATCTGCATCCTCTTTAATAAGAGCAAAAATAAACTTCACAAGAGTTGATGTTTTACAAGAAATAAGACACATTCCTCATACTTCCTGCTGCACTAATGAACTCAACTGATGAGAGATTTCATGAAGATATCCTTAGCATAATCAATAGGAATTAAATTTCCTGAAGCAGTAAGTAGTCGTTACTGAACTTACTGCCCACTCTTTTTATTCTGTGATAATGGAATTTTTCCATTTGAAACCCTTACACAGTCAAATCCAAACTAAAATGGAAGGGTTATGAGTCTGTATGTTGTTAATGTGACAAGGATGCCTTCACTGTGACTTCTTTGTTGTGTTTGGCAATTTGCCACCTTCCACAATTTGAACTCCAAAGTTTCACATACATAAAATATTTTTAATTGATCCATCAGGCCTCCATAGTCATATGCCTATCATCAGAGTGTGCACACTTTTGTATAACAAGTCACTGTTCCCAGTTGTCAATTCAGTACCTTTGTGCCAATCAGCCATGTGAAACATCAAACATCGTAACCCACTGGGAGTACACAAATAGGGCTATATGCCTTCTAAACTCTGGGATAAAAAGCACACTGCTTGAAGACAGCTTACTTTTTCCTGTAGTCCAGTGCTACCAGAACAGCATCTTCTAGAACTAGAATCAGTGAATTCAATTCCTAAAACCTTGCATCATTTTCAGCTTTTTTAATGAATAAATTATACTCCTGACATGAAAGGATTCATGGTCATGACTAAAAATGGATAGACACGTGAAATGGTAGAGTGTCAAATATACATTACCAAAAGGCACATCTACAAACACTGCAATTATCCCTCCCTTGTATATTCCTCAAGAGTAAATGTCTAAGAAAAGGATTTAATGTTTTTTAACCTGTTGCATGGGAAATTATGTTTGTTTTAATAACAAAATAATTATTACCTCTATAAGCTTTGATGGCGCACATCATGCCCCATAAAAAGTTCAGTGGTGGGCCGGCCGAGTGGCGCATTGGTTTAGAGTTGGCTTCGCATACCAGCTCTGAGCAGCAGGGCCCCATTTCAGATCCTACATGAAGGCCAGTGATGCTGCTCCCTCTACAGTTAAGATGGAAAACAACAGCTCAACCTGGAGCTGGGCTGCCATGAGTTGCCGGCGATGGCGTAGACTGCAGCCCCTGTTGCAGTGGGCTGCCATGAGCTACTGTGAGTGGGTGGCAGCCAGCATGAATGGCCGGCAGCCGGCATAAGCTGCTGTGAGCTGCCGTGAGCGGCCATCCAGTGGCTGGCAAGCGACTGCCCCACCCAGGAAGAGCGCAATGATAATACCAACATGAGCCAGTGAAGTGACATCCTCCACAATTAGACTGAAGAAACAAAAGGAAGCAAATTGTCTGTTCTTCTTCCCTGATTCCCCAACGCTGTTCCCCTCCCCCAATTTCCCAATAAAATCTTAAAAAAAACAAAAACAAAAGTTTGGTGGTTATTGATTTACCAGCATACATTTGGATTTTTTTTTCTTCTTCTCTGTATTGCATTTCACTACCCTAACTCATATTTTACTATTCCCTTGGCTCAGTGATAGATAGAAGTGATAAAATGAATTCAAGTTGGTTTCACAGACAGTAAACATGCATTATAAATTTGAAACATACTGTTAGAGACATACTATGCTTGTTGAGCATGTATTTTAGAAGAACTTCCTTCAAGATACTTTATAACTACAACCATAGTCTGGAACCATTCACTGTCTTTGGCTTTAGAATTCTGTGTGGTTTCATGAGAGATTCACTTTTTAAAAAAAATACAGTCTACACTTTTAGCTTTTGAATCCAACAATTCAGGTAAAAGGCATCTTTTTAGTCAGAAAACCAGTCAAATGCCATTAATTCTTTCAATGATTAAACAGAAGTAACAATAAAACATTAGATTCAACTAATTTCTCAAAACATAGATTTCTGAATTTATAGACATTCCTACTTCAATCTTTGTTTTCCCCACTTAGGGAATTAAGTTCCTGAATGTTTAAGAGACTTCTCCAAAGTAACATGGAATCAGGCTAGACCCCTAATGTCCTAACTTTGAATCAAACTATAACTATGCTTTCTCCTACAGAGTGTTTAGTTAGGACTCTCAGTCTCAGTTCTGGCTTCAGTTGTACCAACAGGACAGATCTGCCTTTGTCAAATGAAAGGTGCCAGCCACATCTTAAGATTTCCCAATTTGCATACACACAAAACTATAGCCAGATGGGGTGAGTATAGAAGTCGGATGTGTATCACTAGAATCAACACCTTAGCATTGCCAGATTTGCACACATGTCAAACCTACAGCTAGACATACATTAATTGCGACTCAACACACTAGGGCTGCCTAATTTGCATATTTATAAAAACTTATAATTATATATGGGGGTCATGTGCACTAACCATATGTAGGACCAATATATCGGGGCCCACTAATTCTGTAAAACTTTGAAATTTCATAGCTTGATGACACTTGTTCTAATACCATTCCTCCCTCTGCTGGGACGTTGAGTCTCTGGTATCACTCTGAATCACTCGATGTGACTAATATACCTAACAATGCATTCCTCGGAATTTATCCCCATACTTAAGAGGCACAAGATTGTGTGTGTGTGTGTATATATGTGTGTATACATACACACACACACACACACCACACATATGCACACATACACACACATCATTGGACAACTCTAATATGTTGTATAGCTCATGTGCTAGATCCAATCCACAGTGACAACCGAGACTGTCACTAAGAAGAGAGAGAGCTACTAATGACCATAGGAACCATGGCCCACATCACCTATCCCAAAGAAATGTGTGTGTAAATAGAGTGGGGAATGAATTATTCAGAAGGTTTAATTTAGATAGATAGCCTCATACTGGATAATCTCTGGCTACACTGAACGATTCTATAAATTAGCTTGAAAAGGCTAACTCTCCCTCATTTCCAGTGGAATGAATGTAGCAAAGTTCACTGCAGGTTTTAGACTTTTGTAGCACTGATGCCTATTCTATTAATTTAGGGTTTCTCTACTTTTAAGAATACTATTCTGCATATATCAAACCTCTCACTCTATATAATTAATTTGGTTTTAATATTTACAGAAATGAACACATTTGAAATGCATGGTGTAGGGTGCATTTTCACTTACCTTTTCTGCTGACTGAGCGGTGCCAAAAAAAATTGGAATGAAGGCAAGCCATACTATACATGTCGTGTACATAGTGAATCCAATGGGTTTGGCTTCATTAAAATTCTCTGGGACACCCCGAGTCTTGATGGCGTACACAGTACATGTGACCATGAGAAGAATGCTATATCCCAGGGAGCAAATGATTTGGAGGTCTGTAATGTCACATTTGAGAACTCCCCTGGCCTGCTCAGGGTTCATTGTCTTATGCTCATCATAGTCTACGATGATGTTGGGTGGGTCAACACCAAACCAAATGAAAACACCTAGCAGCTGAACTGATATTAAACTGGAAGTGATTGCCAGCTGTGATGTTGGGCTTATGAGTCTGGGAGCTGTCACTGATTTCTTGCCCTGCTCAAATATGCGATAAATCCGATTGGTTTTTGTCAAGAGGGCTGCATAACTGATGCACATCCCCAAGCCCAAGAAAACTCTCCGGAAAGAACACACTGCCACATCAGGCTTGGCTATCATTAGGAAAGTGATAATGTAACAAAGAAAGATGCCCGTCAACAGAACGTAGCTGAGCTCCCGCCCAGATGCCCGGACTATGGGTGTGTCATTGTAGCGGATGAACGTGGCCATGACAAAGATGGTGGCAATGATCCCCAACATTGCTAGGAAGACAGGGATGACGGCCCAGGGAGAATGCCACTCCAGTTTGATAATGGGAATATCCTGGCAGCCAGTCCGGTTTTCATTGGGTCGCTGATCATAGGGGCAGTGCTGGCATGTCATCTCATCAAACTGGTACTGGTAGCCATCACAAGGCTCACAGGTCCAACAGCAAGGAGTTCCCTTCTGTGTCTTCTTCCTTTGGCCGGGTTTGCATGGCAGTGTACACACGGAGGGGGGGATCTCCCGGACTCCTTTACCCCACTGCATATCCTCGATCTACAGTGTAAGAAATAAGAAGGTGCAACAGGCAGATTATTCAAGAGAAAAGAAAAACAATAACAAACAGTAATAATAGTAGCATTTGACACTTGATGAAGTTAACTTACCCTCCCTTCCCCGCTGCTAGTAGAAGCTAAAACCAAGATTTGACTCCCTACTATTTCACTGCAGTATCCTTGCTCTTCGACACTATAGAATATGTTCCAAGCATGCCTGATTCTAAGAATTCCCTGCAGCAACTCTTGAAAATACAGATTCATTGTTCCCAACCTAGGCCTCCCAAATAAGAATATTTTGGAAAAGAGCCTTTGGATCTTGATTTCTAACAAGTGCCAGAGGATTCTTATGATTAAATACCGATACACTCTCTACTGCCTTCTTCCTAAGTATAAATGTACCAAACCAAATTAAAAACAAACAAAAATCTTAAGTAATATAACAAGCTACATTCACCTCCCTTATTAGGTGCTTTATAAAATATTTAAAAATTATTTTGGATGATATTGGAATGCTGACCATCTTCCCTAAAATTCTGTAGGCATCACTACCATTTTCATTGAGAAAGTTTGAAGCAAAGTGAACCTATCCTATTATTTATCACACAGGAGTGATAGGTTTATTATTGAAGGCTTTAATTGTAGTAGAGTATATTCTAAGAGATCAGAAAACATTTGATAAGAAAATAATATGGCCTGGAAACCTTTCAAGATTGGCCATGTTTCTATTTGGAGATGCCATTTAAACTAAAACACTGTATCTTAGAGGAGGATGAAAGGGTATTTGCTTAATTAGAATATTGATTTTTCTGGAAGGGAATTCATAATCAACAGTGTTCTGAGAAATAACGGCATTAAAAACAACTTTAGTATTGGGCTGGAATCTCAGTGTAGTGGATATCTCTCTTCTGTCAGCACAGCATCTATTCTTTCCTCTTTTCTGATAGCAGTTCCTCAGATCTCTTTTCTATATGCTTTCTGTCAGATGGATCTTACACTGAAGCTCCAGGGGTTGCACACATGACCCAAGCTTGGCCAATTAGTATACTGCAGTGGCTCTCAAGCCTGAGTAGCAATCAGGATCACTCAGTGGGCTTGTTACAACCCAATATGCTGGCCCCACGCTCTCATTTTCTGATTCACTGGGTATGAGATGGGACCTGAGAATATACGTTTCTAACAAAATCTCGGGTGATGTTGCTAGGGATCCTTTAGGGATCACACTTCATCAACCACCGATACATTCTCCTCTTGGCCACAGAGGACAGGGACAGGATCATTAGAGAATGGCACATAATTTCATGGTTTTTCCTGAGACTATACAGATTAAAAATCTCTGTTTTTGTTGGACTTACAGTTTCCAGCATGTAAGGATGCTGGTGCTCATGGTGGCAAGAAGGAAGGAATTTGTCAGGAAATGAAGTCAACACAAAGGAAAGCAGATTGCAGGGTTGAAGACAAAGATAACTGATGAGCCTGTTTGAGCTCCTGGATAAGGCTACTCCTGAAGCATGAATTCCCTAGACTGTGCCAGTATGTAAGCCAGTAAATTATGTTATGCTGAAACACTTTAAATTGCATTTTTATCACTTGCAACCCAGAGTCCTGAAAAATATGTGTACTAAATAAATAGTTCTGGGATCTACAAGTTGCAAAAGATATATTTAGCAAATTAATTTACAGAAGAAATTCCAATGAACACATTTGGCTGATATTCCCCATACCTAGTTAATTGAATTTTTAGTACAGTTGAGCTAAAAAAAATAACTTAGAAAGCTACTAGAAAGTCTGAGACTTTTTTTAGAGATAAAAATAATTTTAAGAGATAAGGTGGAAAGAAAATTAATTCATAGCTCATTGGAATTTCATTGCTATGTTAAAATAGGATGTAATTTATGGTGGGGTGTGATTCTCCCATCAAAACTTGAATGAGAACTACATTCAAAATCTGAACCAAATGTAGTTAACTCTGAAAAGGATGGCTCAGAGCTTAAACTTCACAAAATATCATAACCTTCCAATGGTTGAAATTAAACTTTAACCAGAGACCTGAGAATCTTCAGATGACTCATGTAAACTCAATTGCCTGAACATCAAACCTAAGTCAGCACTAACAAATCTAACTAAATATAAATCAAATAAGTCTAACTAATATAAACCATCATCACTTCTTTCTTGACATCATCCTTATTGTGGCAGTTATGTCACCAGCAGCCATGCTAAAGTCATAAAATTGAAGAAATGATTTGTAATAAGAGAGAAAAAATATACATTAACTTTACAAATGTCAAATTTTAAGAAGCTAGACTTAAAAAAATATTATTATTAATACAATTGTTTTCAAATGTCTGATTAAAAGGTTCTACTCATGGCTAGTAAGAGAGCTTAACAAAAACAACAACAATTTTTTTTATCTAAACTTGGGATTCCCTGATCCCCACACTAGTGGATACTAATATGGCATATGATTAAGCTTGATCTATGGGAATAGATGTAGAGCTCATACAAATATAAAAAACAAGTTATCATTATGTCATATTTTGTAATCAATTTCAAATGTTGCCAGCTCACTATTTTTAGATTCCCTTGGAATAAAATAAAATGCCCAACAATGCTGAACAGCTTTTTTTCCCCGCAACTTATCCAAATATATATGAGAGTTGTAACTACAAACATTATATTGACGGATTACTTAATTTGTTTTCAATTTTCATTTAAAGTAGATCTCAATGCAATTTAATTAAATATATTAAACCAACAAAGTTGCCTCTTCTCCAAATGAACAAAAGCCTAATTTACTTGCTTTGTCAACAAAATCATTATTAATAATGTAATCTGTGTTTCATGAAGGAACCAAGTAACCTTTAAAAGCTCTAGTGAGACTTTTGTTAAAGCGATGCATATGATTTGTGCTTATCTATTGGGTCGTTGGGAAAGTCATGACGTATTTTTTCATTGAAAAACATAGAAAAATACGTCATGACTTTTCCGATGACCCAATATATCCATCCACACATATTCAGTGCTCTGTTTCAAGAAAAGAAACAGTCATCTGCAAATGCCCATGGGCACCTACCTATTTAAGGGAGAATAATAATTTAGGGCTATAAAAAAATCAACTCTAATGTCAATTTACTGTGCCAAAAGGCTAGCAGGAATGCAGATTTCAAGTTTATTCTGAACTCTGCAAGAAAACTGTGTTTCAGTCAGCTGGGAAGCCTAGCTTAAGGGGCAGAAAGGTTAGGATAGAGGCTAATTTGTTTACCATCATTTGGAAGATATAGTTCTAAATTCCCTGATAAGGATGCATTTTCCTCCCGGAAACACAAAGTTTATGGTTATTGGATACTGGATCTGCTCAATAGCTGGCTTATGAGGAAGGACTCTTGAGACCCTAGCTCCTGGCAAGAGAATAGAACTTTATAATTAGTACCATCAATTAACACCATGCATAAGACATAGATCTTATGGATAGGTGAGCTAAAGTTTTAGGATAGAGAAAGTATGCAGTTCTAGCTAATGAAAGCAAAAATAAGCCTGTTGTGGGGTCCTAGGAAAGTGTTCTTCACTCTTAAAGAAGAAACACAAAGAAGGGCTATACTGTCTTCAGCCTTTGAACTTTAAATGTGATTTATCGAACTGCAGCAGCCATTTTGCAATCATGAAGAGACAATTTAAAGAACAAAGCCCATACGCTGAGGATAGACAATAAGAGATAATAAAGAATTTGTGTCTTTGATGGCATAATAATATAACCAAATTAACCGACAATGGTATCACTCTACTGCTGAATTTCCAATATGAAATGACAAACCTCCCTTAAAGGTTAAGCAATTCCTCGTGGATAATCCACTACTTGCAGTCAAACATCTAACACATCCTTTCTTGCTTATGTACCAGGTACATGCAGATCTTCTGAGTCCATTAGACAATTAGCCACTAATTCAAGCCCTTGCATAAATAGTAGGTAGCTCTAGAAGGAAAGGGAATTTTTGAATCACATATGATCAGGAACACTGATCTGTCTCCTGAAAATGCTCAGAAAAGAAGGTGGTAAAGTCCTGGACTCAGAAAATCAGCTGTGCCTCTATCGCTTCTGGCTCAGGTGGAAACAATGAAAAAGCACCTGTCAGCTATGGCTCCCTGGCACATGTGTTTGGCAAAGAAAAATTGGGGTTGGGCTCTAGTAGAGCGCGCTACTCCACAGGGAATGTACAAACCTTATAATCACTGGAATTTTAAAATAAAACCAAATTAGCTGCTGTCTGACTGCCAAATGCAGAAATCAAACAGTGATAGAATTTTTATAAACAGTGTTTGGGGCATCCATTTTTATCTAGAAGAGATCTGTTCCTTTCCCTACACAGACACCATCTGAAAGAAAATTTTGTCACCCCAGGGATATTTTCTTTGGTGAAATTGAATTTGCATAGTTCCAAAGCTTACTCTGTAGACCAAGCTGGCTGGTGTTTCTACTGCATAATTCTCTGTAATAGTAGTTTTGCTTTATTGAAGCCTTAATAGAATGAGCTAATTTAAAAAAGAGCTTTCTTATTAAAATGTCATTTGTTCATTAAAATACATTTGTCCTATCTAATTTATGAAAAAAGCTTTTTAGGAAAAATGCAGAGGAATGTTGAATTTTTAAGACTGGAAAAGAGCCAAGTTTGGTTCTAGTGGAGAGTGAATAAGGTGGAGTGGTTAGCAAGAGCTTCACAAGGCATTCTGCAGCACCTCAATATTTTTATTTATTTATTTATTTATTTATTTATTTATTTATTTATTTATTTAATTTATTTATTTAAAGACTCAGCCCCTATTTTTATACCTCAGGCAGCATGACTAAACTCTGAAACGAAATTTCAGGGCTGGTATACGACCATAAAAACACTCATTAATTCACATTCTACTTATCCCAAATTTGTAATGATAGAAACATCCTTTTTGATGTACTCTAGGAAGACAGTACTGTACACAGTATTACTGGGATTGGCTTTTTCC